GCATTCTATTAGAAGAGGATAAAGTTCAAGATAAAGAAAAGAAGAGAAAGAAAGAAGCTACAGTGGAATTATCTGGTTCTGATGCAGGGTTAATTGACAGAAAAGATGTAATAACTAACAAATCTAAGAAGAAATCAGTTGAGACTGCGGAAGATGGGGCTAATGAATATAAGATGGCTTCCAAGAAAAGGAAACGCCTGGCTCGTGATGAAGATGGGAAACAGTCTGTTGAGGAAGTAGCAGTTGAAGAAACGAAGCGCAGAAAAACTGATGGGCAGGAAGAAGCCAAGGATGTTGAGCCGCAAGGGAATGGTAGTCTCAACAATAATGGAGTGGAGAAGTCCAGTCAGCCAAAATCCACGAGAAAACAATGCAATAGTTCTGCTGAGGTTTGTGGTTTCTTTCCTTATTTTTCCTTTTTCAATAGTTTCTTCCCTTATTATTTCTTGATTTTTCATTACATATGTAACAGGGAAATTGTTTACAAAAGATAAATTGGTCAGCTAGGTTAGTCATTTCTATCATACGATTGTGTTGTAAGTGAAATGGAGCTAGATCAATTATTGAAAGCGAAAACATATAGGAAGTGCGGAATGAAAATAAATTTATTTTAATCTATAAAAGTATAGCGCCTTGGTAGTTTTACAAATCAATCACAACACCTCAGCCACTCTGTATTAGGGCTGTTAATAGTACCAAGGGCTTGTCTTGGCCACTATGCCATATTGACTTGCCTTTGATGGCTACGTGAGCACTATTGCTCCAACTGTGCCCACCCCTCATGCAGTCATTGTGCTTGTATCTCACTACAAACATGACTAGTGGTTTGGCCCTGTTGTGTATTGTGTGGTCAATTTACCAGTTTTCCCCTTTTATCAAAAGCTTAGTTTAGTAACATGTAGGACTTGTTTGAATGCATGATGGCATCTCTTCTCATTTCTCAAATGCTTGTTGTATCTCCTCTCTCCTTTCTTTTGTTTCCTTTTTTCCCCTCTTTTACAATGGTCCTTGAATTAGGGATATTTATTTTACTTCTTGTGATGGTAGATGTTGATCTTTATTTATTACATAAGGCTTCTTTTGTTCCACATGGAAAATCACAACAAAGGCTCCTTATTCACATATCAAATAAAGTCCGCAGAAGATTGTTGTGATCTGTTGAAGGTAGCGTTATATAAAGTTGCATAATGGAAATAATTACGTAATTCTTTCCCTTGGAAAGGATGAAAGTGACCGAGTATATGTATGTTTAAAAATAAAATTTTGCAGGTATAGTTTGTAGATCATCTGTTGTGGATCTCACTTCAATAAAATTTTGTAAGGGATGCATGACTTTTGAAGTAATATTTAGAATATATATTCATGCTCCTACTCTAAATCAATTAAAGACGGCATCCTGAAATATAAAAAGTGAACTATGGTCACTGTAAGAATTAATTTTGATCAAACTCGAAAATACAGGAGTGTGCATGCACATTCAGATTCTCTCTAACAAAAAATTCTGACCCTGAATTGTCTCGTCATGACCTCAAGTGGTGAATGTTGATTGTTTTTCTTAAAGATAACTTCGATGGTTTATTGCAGCCAAAAACGGTGAATGCATTTCAAAGGGTTAAAGTTGATGAGGTGAAGTTTGTTGATGAGAGGCTTCAAGATAATTCATACTGGGCAAAGGTTTAATTTATCCCTTCATTGATCCTTCAAATGCAATTGCACCTGTATATGTTTAGTCTTTTTTCATGTATACACTAATCTTTTGCAATATTTACATGCTCAAACATATAGTTAAATAAGAATACACATACTTATACACGAATTTAAATTTTTATCTCCTCAATGGTATTTATGCATGTATGTTTTATTTTATATTTTCTTTTACGTAACTTTCTCACAGGATGGAGCAGATACTGGCTATGGGGCAAAAGCACAAGAAGTTTTGGGTCAGGTCAGAGGAAGGTATGTCATTCTGTGTTTTATGTGGTGAAATACTGAATATCAAGCTTACCTAGAGCTTGTTTGGGAGAGATTTTTGGGGGAAGAATTGATTTTGAATAGTGATATGATGGGAAATGTGTGGTTGATAAAGAAGAAAAAATTATTGATGTGATGGAAAATATTATTTTATTGAAAAATGTGTGGTTGAAAATGAGAATTGATTTAAAAATCAATTCTCAAATCACTACCAAACACCCCCTGAGTTTGAAGTCAACAATCCAATTTATAAATAGCTTACAATAGATTGAGCTAGCTTAGTTATAAACTTGTATTCATATTTGGGAGTCTAAAAATCAACAACATTATAAATACTACAAATTTAGAGTCAATCTAAATATTGAATTATTGGTATCCTATAGTATCTTAAATTTTGACAACAC